CGCTATTTTAAGTTACATTTATATAAAGAATTTTTCAATAAACATCATATAAGAATATATATTGCCCAAAATATATAATATTTGAATAATTGAAATATTATAATATTTAAAATCAATCAATAGGAAAGAAACATTTGTAGCTTAGTCTGATATCTTATATAACACCACGAACTAATTTTATATAATATTTCCTGCTAATGCTTTTATGTTAATACTACAATAGATTTGTGTATTCTGCTACTAAATTTCTTTCTTTACAGTTTCGTTCACATAAAGTATTTAATAGAAGTCGTGTTCTAGTCAAAAAAGAGTCCACTCTCCTTCTTACGCCACATAAAATGGGATCCATGGCAACCATACATGCAAGACATGACATTCCTTCTTTACCATTGTTTTTTAGAATAGTACAGAATTTTCTTTAGCTTTGTGTTCAATGGTACTCGTATGCTTTCAGAGAAGATCCAACGAAATTGCTCATTTCACCACAACACTCAGATCCCAATACCTCAAAAAAAAAAAAAAAAAAAAAAAAAAAAAAAAAAAACCTCTAATGGACATTACGTCGCGATGGTGTCGAAGAATTTCTCTCTTTATACGGAATAAAAAATGGTATTTTTTTGTCCTTCTTACAGTGGTTTGTGTTTATGGATTTTTTATGGTTGATATTTCGATGCAAGAGACGGTTTATTCTTTGCGTGTTGACATATGTAGTAGTCTTATGTTTAATCTTGAGATGCGTCTTACATACAAAGAGTTCCTATGCTTCAGTGTGTCATTACTTATTTCTATATTGAAAGCTTTATTGTTGACAGAAATGAGCTGTCTTTCAGAATTGCATTTTAACATTCTGTAAGCATCAAAAATTAAATTTCAGTTATTCATTTTATATTAAAACATTCGTTTTCACTTTAGGCTTTAAAAGTTTCGCGTATTTTGATTACACATTATGCATATTGATTATACTTTTCTAATATGATAACCTGCGCTGTCAAATGTGGAACATTTCATTCTTAGGAATTTGATGTTCTGTATTATGTTCATTTACATTCCCAGAAATATTTTCAGATGAGAATTTGTTGGAGAAGAGGTCATCATGATAATATAAGCTGTATTTTTATGGAAATTGAAACAGGAAATTCGTTAGTGTAATAAACATGAAGGTATTTTTATTTAATGGATAATTTGGGCAACATGGTTTTAATAAACATGATTCATATAGGTAAGGATGCTATGAGAATATCCAACAACCAACCCAATCAATAGTCGAGAATCAACATTAAGGTGAACAAGCAGATAATTACCTACTCAACTTCTATTAGAATTTTAGCAGAAGAGTAAATACAAGGCCAACATGGTTGAGCAGCATGATTTTAAGAAAACGTGATTCCTCTGCGCAAGGATGCTATGAGAATATCCAACAACCAACCAAATTAATGACCAAGAATCGACCTTAAGATGAGCAAGCAGATTCGGTAATTACCTACTCAGCTGCTGTAAGAATTTTAGCAGCATAGAAAATACAATACCAATATGGTTGAGCGACATTATTTTAAGAAAACGTGATTCATATGCGCAAGGATGCTGTGAAAATATCCAACAACCAACCCAATCCATTGAGAATCGACCTTGAGATGAACAAAAAGATTCCGTTGTTACCTACTTAACTGCTATTAGAATTTTACTAGCAGAGTAAATACAAACTCAACATGATTGAGCAACATGATTTTAAGAAAATGTGATTTATATGCATAAGAATACTATGAGAATATTGAACAAACAACCCATTTAATGAGGAAGAATTCAATGGCCAGACCTCAGATGAACATGCAAGATTCGTAGTTACCTGTTCAACTGCTGTTAAACGTTTAGCAGTAGAGAACATTCTGAAAATATAGCATACAGAAAACGCTTTCCATTTTCTGATGTGATTTATCAGAAATTAGGTAGTTAATGAAGCGTATTATTGATGATAAGTTGACCATTTCCATGAGGTTAAGGCTTTGAGATGAATTTAATCACTTTTCTCGGATCGCTCATTCTAGTTTTAATATGGTATCAAACTGGGCTCTATATATTGCTCTCTTTCTCTTACATATAGTTACGAATTTTGTATACATGTAAATAATTTTAGTGAAATTACATGTAAATGCTAGTATGTCTTGTGTGTTGTACCATGAAAGGCCTCCGAAATGTGAAATGTCGCTGGAAAACACTGAGGTAAATGGCTATCTTTCAATGTGGCGAGAGATCATCAAAAGTCGCCAAAATTGGCAATAATTTGGCCATATTTTGGTCCGCTTCCTAAGTAATTGTAACTGAGCTTCGTCTGAGATAACCACTGACTTGAATTTGCTGTAAAGGTCTTAGTGTTAATAATTATCCAGACAGAAAGGACGTTATTGTAACTGTATCCGATCCTAAGTAACTGTAACTGTATATGCCATCTAGCAGTTACTGGAAATTGCTCGGCTGACGGTGAAAACCTATATAAGGCCGCAGACAGCTTTAGTTTTCAGTTTAGCTTAGTCCAGAGATTAGTTCAAGCGAGTATTGAGCGAGAGATTACTGTGTCTTACACTTTTGAAGCTCTTAACATTATCTCGTGTTCAACGTTCTTTGCAGCTAAGTGATAACTACTGATTGGGCTCTGACATACTAAGACGAGTTGTTATGAATACTTTTGTGTGAATGATTCCAGAACTATTAAGTTTTCTTCTGAAAAAATAAATTCCATCAAGCTTTCATCGGCTGTGTGCAGTTACTCAATTACGAACCCATACGCAAGTAACGATATCATATATCATATATAGTATATTTTTTCACTATATGTTTATTTAGTATATGTTTTATATGCACCTTTATAAAGTATAAGTATACATATCACATGTAATAATTTTTTTACGCTTATTATCAAACTTATTTATGTCTGAAACGTTCTTTAGTACTAAATATTTGAAGTACAGCGTAAAATTATTTCACCGTTTTTGAAATTTACCCTACGTTTTCGTTATAAAATTTTAATTTGCTTATAGAATAAATAAATAAATAGAAAAGCGTAATTTTAAATTCAGCTCAGTACGTCTATTTAATATCTGTGAGTATCGATAATTTATTTAGCGGTTTGACTGATCCTGATTTTTAAATTTCAATTTTATCCAAATCCTTTATTTCGATTTAGTTTCACCATTTCTTCATAGCGTAATTCTTCTCTCTTGTTCATTCTAGTCACCTATGGGGAAGAGGAAATACATTGCGTGCGCAATAACATGTCTACTTTAATTTCTGGCATTTAAGAGAAAAGAGCGAAGGAGGACTAAAATTAACTCTTGATGTTTTCTGTCCTTGACTTCTAGTAATTTGTTTCACTAAGTCTTTACTTAGTTACTAGGGAATGATTCAAAAAGAAGATTTGGAGCTTTCTTTCACTGAAGCGAAATAACTTGATGTAATAAATAAATAAACTTAAAGCAACACATCAGATCCGTTAGGTATTACTATCTTAAATTCATTAAGTTAAGGTATTTGGATTAAAGTTAATTCGTGAGCGAATGCCTATAGAGAATAAATAAAAATGCTTTGCTCTGAATTTCATTCCAGCGACCGAAAGAGCTGGCTATATGAGAATTTCATGGTTCCCTTCATATCTAATGTGAATATGGGCCATATTCCTTTATAAAGATATCCAGAATAAATCGCCCCCTATAAACACTAGTTAGTATTGTTTCTATAATCAAGTGTTCTCTTATAATATAGTTCATTCTCTAATAAAATTAAGCTGTCGGTTTGGGAGGTTTCCGAACATATCCTCTAGTTCCAGTAGATTTTTAAGACTATTAGCCTAGATACATTGTTTGATTATATAACATTTTAATTTATTTTCTTAAGTGTTCTCACTTTAATTATTTTGGAAGGGATTTTAAAATGCAGCAACCTTCCTAAGTACTGTTACGCTATTTATATTATTTAATAACCAGCGGAAAAGCCCGTCAGATGAGCGGGCTCCACCTAAAGCAGACTTTGTAAGTTCTATGTATACCTAAAAAGAAAATGCATAAAAATATTTCAATCTGAATGAAATCAATTCATTCTTTGTAAGTAACAACCAATTTGTAAACACGTTTTTTTGTTGCCAAGCCAGGAATCAAAACATTTTGACACTTCAGGTTGATACATATAACGTCATTATTTAAAACTGATGTAATATTAGAACATTTTCTCAATAACAATAAAATAATTAACGTGTCAATAACATATCGTGTCAGTTATACTAACCTGAAGCAAAACAATTGCCAACAGCTGCTATTTATTTAAAATGCTGCCATTAACCAAAACCTATGACGGACAATGACGTCACATGCAGCCGCGTGCTTTCTTCAACGTCAGATTATGACCTTATATAATAATAATACGTTTAATGTTTGGCAATGCTATTTTTGTTTCATATTTTGTAAAACTTACAAATTTTTGATTAACAAACTCTAGTTCTGAAAGCGAGCTGTAGCAACACTTTCCGAAGTAAAGCAGATTTTTATCTCCGCTACTTGGAAAAATGAATGCGAAAATTAGCGTTTTCAGAGCTTTTAATTTACATCTCGTCTGATTAAAGACGTACAAAATTCGAATGGTCAAAATGGCTTCCCACGAATTTTTGGAATCCGGAAGTACTTCTTTCGACTCCCCTCCATTCGAGAGGAGATAATGTTACAAACAAACAGACGCGCACATATTTTTAACAGTACAGATAACCAAATGCAAGTATATTTCATAAACGTTTGCATTTAATTAAGAAAGATTTAAGTTCGTATCATTAGATATACATACTGTATTTTACTCTGTACATAAAATTTAACAGCTAGAATCCTAAAATCGTTGACTAGTTAGAGCCTGATTAGTGTCGACTCAGACACCTATACCTTTCATGGAAAATTTCAAAAAAACATAATTTAAAAAATATGCATTTAATAGCATACTCAATACAGATAAATTTAATTGTGCAGTACCGTTGTTCCTGAGAGTAGGAAGAGTTAGTCGTCCTGTATCGTGTTGGATACCAGCGTCCCTCCTCCTGCACTCTTCGATGAGATTCTGGAGACATCTGGAAGGTGCAGGGCTCCGACGCTGGACGACCTATCCATCTAGACACGAGTTTCTCGCTGTCACAACACTCTGCAAAAAATAGCAATACATTAGTTATATTAGCATTCAAAGTACAAACATTAAGTTACATTTATACTTCAAGGTGTTAAAAAGGGAAAACTGAGGTTACGTAAAGAAAAACTAAAATCTTAAAATCTCATTTCATTTCAAATATGAATCATTCGTAAGACTTTATATATACTTATCGTAACTTTAAATATGTTTATACAATGCCATGATAAAATATCTACATTTGCTGCTATGTTCGTACTGGTTTTGATTTGTAACACCTGTCTTGAGTTTATATTAATTCAGCTATACCAGTTTGAGTCAAAATAATGTGTTACATAGCTTCTTTGTGAGGTAAATTATCATCAACAGAATTTTTTGTTTCTAAAACAAACAAACACAGAGATAAAGTAATTTTATCCTATCTCACCACTTGTGAGGTTTAAGCTTAAAATAGACTGAGCAAAATTATCAGTCCCCTGGGACCTGGCTTAAACACAAACTGTAATAAATTCAAACAGTTTAATCTAATATTACCATTAAGGTCTACAAGCTTACCAGACACCACAATTCATACCTGCAACTTACCGACACAAAATTAGCCTTTCACTACCGTAAGTAATTTAAGATCAAAGTCTAGTCGGTAGCAGAAATATGCAAGGCAGTTATGACTGGAAGGCCAAACCTCTGACACATAGCTATTCGTATTTCTTCTAATTTTATAGCAAATTTCTTGCCTCTCAAGTCTACATAAGTTTTGAAATGCGTGAACTTCATAGCGAGATAAAGCAGAAATATAAATAAGTAAATTAAATAACACTTCATTAGCAAATTTTAAACTTAAATGTCGCACATTGTCTTATTGCTTTCCTTTTTTGTGAACATATATGTCGAATTATATATCATCAAATATAAAAAAATAGTTTTTAAATTTAAAACTGAAGTATTTTGTCTGTTTTTGTTCCTTTATGTGTTATATTTTTCAAACTGGTTTGAAAAATATAACACATAAAGGAACACAAACAATTATAAACATAAAAGGAACATAAACACTTGTACATACACATAAAGTAACACATAAATGACCACAAACAGTTATATTTTTCAAACTAGTTTGAAAAATATAATTTCAAACTTTGTTTGAAACATAATTTAGAAAAAAAAATAATTCAAACTTTTTCTGAAACATAATTTAAAAAAAAAAAAAAACCAAATTATTTTAAACTTTAAAAAAGTAACAAAAACTTTGTTTGAAGAAACGAATAAACAATATAATTGGGCATATTCAATTCTGCTCTGTCACTAGGCCAAGCATATTCACTTCTGTTAGCGTATTCAGTTTTGTTTTCACGTGAGTGCTGCTTTAGACATACATTTCCGTTGTGTCCTGAATGCGGTTTAAAAACTATAAATATTAAATTGATATTTCTATAAAATATGTTTACGAAACGTAATCTGTAAAGATATCTGCTAAAAATCACTGAAAGATTGTATCAGAAGAAATGAAATGAATATCCACTGTTAATATTTTGCATACAGCAATTGAATGAATCTTTAGTTTATAGTTAAAAATAAGAAATAGAAACAAGCAAAAATCAATAATACATAATCCCTTTGATTGACGAAACAGGAAATGATTTATCCACTATGTTTTAATTTAAATAAAAGCATGCAATAATTTCATTAATGCTTAATTTATAATTTAGAAATGTGTAATAGCAATAAAATATCGATTACATATAATTCCTTTAATTGCAATCGTAGAAACTTTGTCGTAATTCAAACATGAAAATTAATTCATTTATATTTTCATTAATCTTCAACTTTCGTGAAAAATATTCAACTTAGATAGATTAATACTCCGTGCTTTCCATATATTTCACCCGTATAAAACTAAAACAAATACCAGCCAGATTGGTAACATCCCGAGAAAATAGTTTAAACTAAATTTTTAAAGCAAGCAAAGATTATTAAATCATTAGCAGCTGTTAATTCATTTAAAGTGCAATGCTTTATATTGTTTTATATAATATATTAATTTACTCACTTAAGCTTGTAAATGATAAATAATTTAATGCATGATGCAAGGAAAATATTTATGCGTCTTTCTCTTAATGGAGTACATTAACAAGTATGTTCATATATATAGTATGTAGGAATGTACTTGTTATTGTACATTAATAATAATATTGATATAATATAGTAATGTGCTCATTTAATCTTGTACATAGTAAAAGATTTCATGCATGATGCAAGACAAATAATTATGCGTTTTTCTCTTAATGAAGTACATTAACAACATTAACGTAAATGTCAAAAAACATACGATATTGTTTTACGATTTAACAGCATTACTTCAAGCAGTTCATTGACTGTGTCGATTACTGCAGTGATTCAGTTATTTGAATTATTGCATGGGCAAAAGGATTCGCTACTGCGCTTATACAAGCTTCTAAGGAAGATAGATTACTCAAAGACGAATCGAGATTTTATAGTCGTTGTAGGATCGGAAAAGCCATCATCATGTGCAAGTATGCAGCAAACACGAGACATGAAGAGCAACACATAAGTTAAAAACATCCCTTTATTCATTAAAATTTAACAACTACGGTAATAAGAGATCACCGAAGATGTTGTACCACAAGCTGGAACATTAGTCGAACATCGGTGCTCCATGGAATGACAGACGTTTTGAAATATTTCAGGCGTGAATGAAACAGCCGCTGCAGCTACGTTGAGATGTGCGATATGTTTGCCATCATTGTTGACGGCAAACGTATCTCACATATCAACGTATCTCACACGAGACATTTTACATTACCTTGAAAGAAAGTCAACGAAATACAATTCGCTCGATCCACGTTTGTCCAAATGTCGCATTAAAATACCTCCGAATGTCATAGCTGAAATGGCTGTGTCCCATCATAATGGAACAACATATCGGTCTGCAAATGCTGGATTTGTTAGTCATTCAGCCTTTTGTGCAAGACTTCCACCAAAACATCTTATAATACCATCCGTCTAAATAACAAACATACAAGTGATATGGCCCTGTTAACTGCTTTTCACAGTGCCAAACCAAATACTGACAACAAATTGTTGTTGTGCTGCACATGGTCGTGTAACCCGGGGGGGGAGGGGGCTCACAGCCCAGACATGGAAATTATGTGAAATGTAGCAACCTTCCCAAGAAATGAAATATGCCTTGTATGTGAATAAGACTGAAGTTAGACAAAGGAGGTCGTCTCATTCTTCCGCAAATCAGGCTGAAGTATCTGTACGAGTTGCTCATATAACGAATTCAACTGGCTTTAGTTTGAAATGCTCAAGACGGCGAGAAAGACCAAAGCGAGCAGCGATTGTTGTTGTACTTTCACGCTGAATGTCTTTTGCGTGATGAAGGGACATCTTGATTTAACGTGTCCGTATGTTCGTCCCAGATTCATGGCACGTTTCTAGGAAAACGCACTTCATATAACCTTTGATCCTGCCATGAAAATATCTGATGGTTCAAGATTATGAATCTGGATGGTTCAGAATATGCCCGATGCACATCTGATTAAACTGCCTTTATGAAAATGTCCTTTCTTCTACATTTGCGAACGGTTTGGGATTTACGGGTTTGCTATGTAGGCGTTTACCGGTTCCCCAAGAACTCCCTATATAGCGTTATGATTTCATTTCCGATCTTGTATTTCTATTTGTTCAAAATTCGTCTTTTAGTAGCCTATTCTTCCCGGAAATTCGTACATGCGGTACAGAAAGGGAAATTTAAATTTCACGTTTATTTCCGTATTTGGTTGTTTAACTTAAGATAAAAATGTTAGGAAAAAATAAACGTTATATTATCTTCCTTTGTACTTTTTTACAGTAGTACAGTACGAACGTTGTTTGAAAGGTTTCCTAACACAATATGTGTGTGGCAACTTAAATCAACCAAAGTGAGGGGATTTGTTTGAGCATCACGTGATAACTACCAATCAAAATTTCAGCTATTTTGAAGGCGAATCTTTTGTTTGACAATTACTTTTGTGAGTTGATGTGACCGTTTTGTAAAAATGGAAAAAAATTGAACGTCGCGCTGTGATTAGATACCTGTTTTTGAAAAGTAATACTCTTACTCAGACTAATGAGTAGTTGCACACAGTGTACACAAACTCTGCATCATTATTTACTATTGTTAAATTTTGGACAGCTAAATTTAACTACGTGGACGTACTAGCTTGGATGACGATGAACGTTCAGGGCGGCCAAAAACTCCAACTACTGAAGAAAACATCGCTAAAATCCACCTTATAGTGCTGACGACCATCGAATCAATATTAATGGGATAGCAGAGGGTATAAGCAAGGTCCAAAAAACGTGATTGCTACATATTGAACCAAGATTTAGATATGCGCAAGCTGGCTGCGCGTTGGCTGCCGTATTTGCTCCCTTTGGGCGGAAAACGTGTCCGAATCAACATTTGCACCGCTCTGTTGGCGCAATAATTCGGAATTGTTTCGACTATTAATCTCTGTAAATGAAACCTGGATTTATCATTACAGCCCAGAAACAAAAATGCAGTCAAAACAGTGGACTACAAAGAGAGAATCGGCTCCAAAAATGGCAGAAACTGTTCCTTCTGCTGGGAAAGTGATGACAACAGTTTTCTGGAACAGACATGGGATTGTCTCGATAGATTATCTTGAAAAGGGAAATCAATTACCGGAGCGTACTATGCAACGTTACAAGCTGAAGGCATAAATTACGGAAAAACGGTCAGATTTTCAAAAGAAAAAAAATGTTTCACCAAGACAGTGTTCCATCTCATACATCAGCGGTTGCAATAGCGAAAATCCAAGAAGTACGATTTGAACTGCTTTGACGACACACCCTATTCGCCAGATCCGGCACCAAGTGATTTTGTTTTGTTCCCTAAGTTAGAAGAAGCACTTGGAGGACAAAGAGTTTGGTCAAATTACAGAGACATTACAAAGAAAGATTACACATTTTATTTGAGCGAATTAAAAGGATTGGAG